AGGAAAAAAAACTCGTCATATTCAGCGAACTGGCGAGCGTGTGTATCTGTATGTGAGCCTTATATCTGGTGGATGTCATCTGGATATAGCTACAACTACGGCAGCATAACTTTGAACAACTGTCAGCCGGGTTCAAGGGGTCAGGGCCGGGGCTGGGGCTGAGGCTGAGAGGGGCCTACGAACATGCCCTTTGAGGTTGGTTAACTGTCTCCTCTGCGGGGTCCGAGTTTTATCGCAGCCGTGTGTCAGTCCTTTCTGGGGCTCGAGAGTGCGTGTAGCTTAGGCAAAGGCAACCGAAAAATACAAAATGCCATCAGGATGAGAGCGCCAGGACGAAATCGAGAGGCATTCCCGACATGACACACAAAGTTATGGCCCCATAAATCAAACTTTTGTTTTGCAGGTGGCAAGAACTCACCCAATCCCCTCCGAAAAGGACTATTGAGTGTTTTTGGGAGCTGCATCAAATGAGTTTATTATGCCACATCAAAGGCCATTTCATTTACATTTCGTGCTGGAAATGATTAAAGAAATTCAATTACTGCGCATTCATCTTGTCATTACATAAATAACCAGAAAATATAGTTGGTTAGTTTAAAGTAATAAAATAAATTTAATCAGTGTGTAAAACTAATTATTAATTACCTTAAAAGGAAAGATTAAGAGTCTTTAAAATGCCATAAAATACATAATTGGTATTACATTTATTTTATAAAAATCATTAAATAAATCAAATGAGAGCTTAGCTTCAAGAGCTCTTTAACAAGACTGTATAGCAATTAATTAAATATGATTGATGGCACTTTGTACTCAAGCGTTTCAATCTAAACCCATATTTTGCTTATTACTAAGAGAGTTATATTCAGAGAGAGGAAATAAAATAAATGGGCCGAAAATGCAAATTGGGGATATAAATCCACCAAATTATATTTAAAACACGTGGCTTTATCCCTCTAACGAATCATATTTTTATACCCTTTCAGGGTATTATAATTTTAGTCAAAAGCTTGAAACGCAGTGAACGAGTCATTTCCGACCCTATAAATTATATATATTCTTGAATCAAAAACTGAATCGATCAAGCCACCTCTGGCAAAAAAAATAACACTTTTGAAAATTTTTCAAATTTTGAATTTTTTATAAGGGGTTACATCATTAAAATTGTGAAAAATTGGCAAAAAATTTAATTTTCTAAAATTTTACGCAGATTTGTTAACCCTTCAAAAACTAACATAGGAATGGTTTCCGAATTGAAATTAATGAATTTTTGGCTGAGATATGAGATATAAACTATTTGGATTTACCCAAAAAATTGCATATAAAAATATCAATTTAATATACATAAGATAGTGTGTTTTTATGTTTTCTTTTGAGGTATACCTGCAAGGATATACACACTTCGACTTCTAAGAGTTAGCATCCTTTCTTGTTTGTTTTCAATTTTATTGCCTTTGTTGTACCTTTTACGTCAATTGGAATGCCACACATTTCAATGATTACGACGCGCAAATATTCAATCAACTGTTTGTCTGTTCGGTCTATGTCCTTATACTCCATATACCGCACCATGCACCCCTTAACCATTTACCCCTCGCCCCAAAAACAACCTGCCCCTCTTTAATATCCGACGCCCTTGTATCTGGTGTTTGTTATGGACTCGTTTGTGTGTTCGCGGGTATCGTTGGTTCATCTGCCGGCAATCGAACAATTTCAGCATTTTTTCACGATTATTATTTTAAATAATCGATTTTTTTGGCCGCACATATAAAGGCGTTTATGTGTACAGCGAGAGATATAATTTGAAAAAGGAATCTACATATAATAAGATTGCTTTATCCCATAAAATTACTTGAGAATTAATTCTACCTTTTGTGTGATACTTATAACTGAATTAAAGCCTATGCTAGTTTGTAATTCATATTCGTTTACATAACTTTAATTTGGGATAAATTGATTAAGGAACAGTTTTCTTTATCAATATAAATATATGTATATATTTTTTCCAGCGCATGAGTATTTGTGCGTGATGGCAGAAGGATATATATTTTATGGCCGCCAGCTAAGGACACTCATTATGCGGTTCGGCCAGTAATAATACTCTGAATAAGAAACAAGAGCTCCCATAAAGCGGCCTAGCCAAGACGACTCCCAAATACCCTACAGATCTAAAACCCCATGAAATATAAAGCTGCGTATTAGGAATATGATCCGTGAACATATGGTTTTTGTTCGTCGCTAATAGTTTCCAATTAGTGACCGGATGCAGTGTATCGCCATTGTAGAGTACACAAATCTAGAGCAATTTGTTTGTGGCCACTAAATTGACCAATTCCCTACCCCTACCCTTCGAAGAGGGTATGGCATTTGTGTGTGCTTGTGGCTGTGTGTGTGAGGCGTCACAGCTGTGGTTCATAAATAAAAATAAATACATCGCTTGATTTATATGGCCCTAATGAGCTCAGCGCACAGTTCAAGCGACTTTGGGCCCCAGCAGAAGACCGAAAAACCGAAAAGAGGCGAACCACCAAAATAAATAAATAAAATCCGCAAGCACATCATGTAAATGCTGTGCAAATAAAAAGATACATTCGCTGGCTAACAAAGGGAGGGGCATATAAGATGGCTATGCAGTTGGGAAAGTCGCAATGTTGCCTACTTTTCGGCTGATTAGCCGGCAGGCGGAGGCCATTTATTTGTTACGTGCGACACACACACATACTCTCTTACAGTGAACGAAAAAAATATGTATTGAAGTCTGATAATTTATTATTAAATGAACTAGCATATAGATACATAGTTGTAGATCTAGGCATACTCTTGAAGCTCTTGAATTCAATATCTATTTATATATATTTTAATAATTTAAATGGGTTGTTACTAATGAAATTTATGATAAGTAGCTTAAAAAAGTTTAATATAATTTAAAGAGAGTATATAATTAAAACAATAAACTGTTAATGGTAAAAAAGGCAAAATAAACAACTATTTAAAGGTAAAAAATTAATACTTTTCTCAAAAATACAATTTCCTGAACGTCCTTTTCCAGGACTTTTTCTCTGCACACTTCCTCTCACTCCTTCGAACCTCTATATTCTCTCAATTTAGTTTATCGTGCCCTACGTTTGATTTGCTTTCAGTGCGTGCCCATCATCATCAGCATTAGGCATGATTGTTGTTGTTATTAGACAAATATATATAGTATAGTATGTGTGCAGGGGAAGATAGCTGGAAGGCGTGCAACTGTTTCTGGCATAATGACGCTAATTTTGTATGGTCCGGTAACGGTTAGGTTATCCTGCACTGGGTCCTCCTGCCTTCGCCATCCAGCTACCATAACTTATGAGGCGAATTTTTCAGGTCCTTGCCATCGTCATGGCCTAATGTCAGGTGATCTGACAATGGCATTTATTAATTAAAACATGTGTCGCACGCACGAGCGCACACAGACAGCAGATCAGGCCAGACGCCATTGATTGGTCCTTGCCCAACAGGGATAATGCCGAGCAGGCAAAGGATGATATCGGGCAAGCGGTCAGCCAGGACATGGGGCAATCTCCTATGAGATGCCAGGCAGGCAGCCAGCAAGGCAATCGGGGTGACTCTGAAAATCTCATGTCAATCTCAATTTCGGAATATTCCATATGGAAATCATCCAACAGGAGTACATTTATAGTGGTGTAAGCATTTGAAGAAGATTTAGGAGTGTAAGGAATCTTTGCCAGGGTTCTCTATTCGAGTATAAAATAATAATAAAAACAATTATTGAAACCTTGTAGAATCTGTGAAATTAAATATTTATTTAAATTGCTCTCAATGATAACCTCAACTTTTAATCTGTTGCAATTCCCACACATATCGAGTGATTAATCTCATTTAATTCGGTTAATCAAATAAACAATTTGATACACTTTTAATCGGAAATGATGTAGCTCTCAAAGTAGTAATTGAGGCTTTTCAATTGAATGATTTACAAATAATTTGAGCATATCATTCGGCAATCCTCTTCGGCACCCAATGGCAAGTCTGTAAAGGACGAAAAGGAGGCACCGTGGGCAAGGATAGCGGCTGAGTCAGGGATTGGGACAGTAGAGGCCAGAGGCATTGGGACAGAGCAGAGCAAATGAAGTCACGTACGTGCGATTTTTCTTTTGCTTTGGGGCACATATTAAAATACGTGCGTCTCGCATTTACTATAACTTTTACACACACACAAACACACACCCACACCCCCGCACACACATGCACATTAATGGCGGCATGATGAGGCAGCTAAGTTTGCGTGTTTGTTGCTGCTGTTTTCCTCACTCACAAAAGGGCTACAAATGGCTTAGGCTCTGCCTCGGCCTTCCCTCCCCACTTGCCATCGGTTTTTTGGGTTTTTATTTTTTGTTTTTATGTTCTCCGGCGTGCGTGTATGTATATTTGTTTCAATTTCAATGACTGCAAACAACATTTGCACTTAGTAAATAAAATATAGCAAGCGCAGGAGTCGGCACTCCGTTCCTTTTGGGTTTTCAGTTCGTTTAAAGTTTTGCCACACACTCTGCTTAATATTTTTTTGTGTAGCTTCATCCTTGTGCCCTCCCATTTTTCTTGTTGGCGACTGGCCAGCGTCCAGTGCCGGAGATCCAGATCCCAGTCCAGATCCCGAGCTGCTCATTTGCATTTTGGCTGCTGCAGCAGGCCAACATAAAAGTGGGAAATGGGCCAATGAACTGGCAGACAAAAGGCCCGAAAAGGGAATGCTGCTCCACTTTCTGCATATATTTTTGCGACCAATGAAATGGGAAGCCAACACAACACACAAGCACTTGGACAAAACACAGGGCAATGACACACCCAGCATTGATCACTGTTCTGGGATCACAACAGGAAATGAAACAGAAAACAGAAGCGAAGATGCTGGAGGGTGTTGACGTTATCCTTGGAGTATATAGGCTCCTTTTTTCTTTTGAAATAACAAGTTTTATTATTTTTTACAAAATAACACAGTTAGAAAACATATTTTATTATGACAATTTCAAGGCCTATCTACTAAATAAATTGAAATTTCAAATTCTAGACGGATCCAATGCTTGCCGTACCTTTTGTTGCCATTTGTAATAGTCTGGGCTTCACCTACCTGCCCACCTATGGTCTCTGAAAACAAGAGCTGTTGCTGGGGCAGGACCTTATCAGGGACTGCTCTGGATGAGGAGGAAGTGGAATTTGGTTTGAATTTCCGGTTGGACTTACGGCACTCTATTTCTTTTTCCAGTATACAAGTGAGTGGTGACTGCTCTTGTCTTCGTTGTTCGATGAGTTGGACTGACTTCTTCAAGCCCCCTGGAGTTTTTCTTGGCGTCTGCGGCACTATAGGAGAAGTTCTGAGCGGGGATTTTAGGATTAGCTGAGGAGGCGAAAGATTAACCTGCCGCTCCAAGAAAGCTTCCACAGTCTGTGTCGCTGCACTACAAGTTGTTACAGCATCAATTTGCTCTGGCTGTGAATACTTTGAGAGCATTTCGCATACTATTTGAACAGCTTGATCCACCATCTGGATTTGTTCTGATTTCTCAACGTGCTCCTCAATTTGATCTTCCTTTTCCTCCCTGCCTAGATCCTGGTTATAAGATACCAGAAAGCCTTCTAATTGAACTGCTTGATCTACCATCTGTGCCACAGGCTTTTCGACCTGCTTCTTATTCCGATCCTGCTCGTTTTCTATGATTAGATCCGGTATTAAAGAGACTATATTGCCTCCTACTTGAACTGATTGATTCACCATATGGATCTCTGGCTTCTTAAGAGACTCTTTACTCTGATCCTGCTCCTCCGCGAGGCCTAGATCTTGGTAAGAACAAATATCGTTTTGTACATAGTATTTCTTAGACGACTGGGCGGCAAGGACGAACGTCTGAAAAAACCGTCTCATGGGTTGACCATCGTTGGAGAGCTCTCCGCTTACTTGCAACACCACACCGTCGCCCGGCGTGGCCTGGACATCCACTCTGTTGATATTTGCTTGGCAATCCCTAAAGTTAAGCTGCTGGATCCGGTTGTATATATCCCGCTTACCCACCGCTGGCTGAGAGTCACCGTGGGTGTACGAGGATGTATTATTGTAGAAGCGGTGCATCTGATTGGGATCCTTGTTCAACAACGTGTAATACTGGCGAACAAACTCACAACCCACGGAGTGCGCATCCATGATGAGTCACTGTCTCTGGTTCCTGATTCTGATTCTTTTCTAGAACTACTTAAATTCTCACCTCGGTAACGAAACGAATCAAATTAATTTGATTGCTGAATTTGAATTTATCTGTGTACAAACGAAGAAATGTAAATATTAGGAAAGAATTAGATAGATTTTCAAGATTTTTAAAATGACATAAAAAGAAAACTAAGTTGGTTTCAGTTTACTTTCTATTAAAGTTTTTTTAAACTAAACCAAACACCACCACTGGTGGGACATGCTAACAAATATATATTCTATTCCCTGGCTCTCTTTTCGGACCGAGTCATGTAGAACTGGTAACTGTGACGCCGGGGAACTGTGGCCGAGCCATTGTTGACTTGATTTGTATGCGCCTTGGCTTGGTGCAACGGCCACGTTGGTCTCAATCTCCTTTAGTCTCTGCCTGAGTACTTGAAATTCCCTCATGCCGGGAACTTTATTGAATTTCCTGTGGCATGCAAAGCAACGGCTTTCAAGACATCCTTCGAGCCAGTTGGGAGTCTGGTGAAGTGCCCACGAAACAGGCTTTGGAGCTAAGGCCAAAAACCATTTGGCAGGCGAGATACGGGCCACTCTCCTCCTGTCTCAAGAGTGCAGACAGAGGTCGGACCTTGAAGTTAATACAGATCGATGATCAATGATAACGATTTGTCAGGTGGTTATGCATATATTCCCCAAGATGGGGAAGGAGAGCTGTTGAAATCCATTTCCCAGGTGTGAAATATGGAATATGTTGTATGCAGTACAGAAGAGTTTAATTATAATGAACCCACACTTTGTACCCTTGCAAGGGTATTATACTTTTAGTCAGTTGCTTGAAAAACTATGAAGAAGTCATTTCCGACCCTATAAATTATATATATTCTTGATCAGCATCAAAAGCTGAATCGATCTAGCCATCTCCGTCAAGAAAATAAAATTTTCGAAAATTGTCAAAAATTTGAAAATTTTAAAAGGGGTTACATCATTAAAATTGTCAAAATTCGGCAAAAAATTGAATTTTCTAAAATTCTAAATTGAGTATGCAGATTTGTTATCATTATAAAAACTAACATAGAAATGGTTTCTGAATTAAAATCAATGCATTTTTGGCTAAGTTATGACTTTTTTTAATTTTGATTTGTCTAAGAAGTTGTCATATAAAATTATCAATAAATATCCATTCAAAGAAAGCGAATATTTTATGCTCGTTAACAAGCTGAAATTCGTTCCTTTAATTATTAAGAATGTTTATAAGCTATAAATAATATGAAACAGAAAAATCGTATTAGTTCAGGATGTGTTCATTATAAATAAATTTTACTTTTAGGAAGTTCAACTGTTTTCCGTTTTCCGTTCGTTTTTCCGTTTTTTATTTTGTTTGTGCTGTGGAAAATATATCTGGCCCAATTTATCTGGCCCCAACTCTGGCACCTGTTCTACGTGCGTGTTCATGTGTGCAGGACGCGGAAACGGGAGGGGAGATCCGCCGCAGGAAGCGGATGGTGGCAAGTGCCCCTGATCCTGTCCCAGCCCCACTCCTCCGATCCTGATGAGGGTTAATTTGCCAACGGCTCAACAATTCATCAGCCGGGCCAATTAACTAAGCGCGACCCTTTTCCCCAGCGAGGCGGCGCCGCCACTTGGCGGGTGTTATAAATTTAAATTTAAAGGCCAAACAAGGCCGCGTGCCAAGTGCTTTATCGCTGGCCTAGCAGATTCGCCTGGAAAATTAAGAAAAACTGCCTCCTCGGTCGGACTAAATCCGAAGTGGAGGGCCGAGACTGGATCTGGGATGGCCGGGATATGGCCAGGATGTCCAGGTACTTGGACGGCCAACTACTTGTATTTGGACCGACTCCGCTGACAGCGTTTGCACTTTATCCTTGTCAGCTGTTATCGTTTGTTGCTGCTCGTCTCTCCACTCCCGACTCCCAGACTCCCACATCCTCGACAAAGGACGCTTTCGGCTTGAGAAATTACCGCACAAAAGTCAACGTGTAACGAGAAAATAATAAATGCCATTAATACGGCAGGCGGGGCAGTAGACTAGACAGAAGGATGATGGGCCCAGAAAGGGAAAGCGTGCCAGATGAAAACGAATGGAGTATGAAATTGAAAACCAAGGAGCATAGTTTAAACCTAGCAGGAGAAAGAAAAGCCGAAGCTTAGAATACTTCTGCCAGAATGAATAGATGGAAGTTCATTAATCAAAAATACAGTATTGCAAATCATAATCATAAATCACCTATCATAAATAAGTATTTAAATAGCTTTAAGTTCTAATAAAATGTTTATGAATAAAATGTTATGTTTTCTGTTTTCCAGATACTTCTCAGTAACTTAAATTTAAGATAAATTTTTCTCTGTGATTTGCAAATAACAGAATCAAACCAAGGGTATTTTCTTTTTACTATATAAAAAGTTATAGGCATCTTATATCAAATCTGGAGATTTACAAACCGAAACTTACAGCTTCGCAGACAATTTAAAGAAAATGTGAATCTTGAAATGACAATGATTTCTATTTGATATGCCTGGAATTATGTTTTGATCAATTACGGACGAGTTTTCCTCAACGGATGTATGTTTGGGTGTTTTTGAGACCAGGTGGCGATTGTCACGCAATGGCAACTGGCCTAAAGGCTGCAAAGGTTCTTTACTTTTATTGACAAACTCGACGAGAATTTGTGCGAAATGTGCGTGCGCGACTTGGCCAGGATATCCCTTATCCTTTGAGTGTTCTTCCATTTTCCCCCCTTTCTCTTTTGAGAACACACAAAAAAAGAGGGTCTCCATGTGTGTGTGTGTGTGTGTGCGAGTGTGGTTTTTGGGTAGGGCGTGGCCCAGGACACGACATTTTTTGCCATAGTTGTTGCTTGTGTCTTTTGTTTCCACCTCGTGCCACTTGACATTGCTTGCGGTTTGTTAGCGGTCCAGGCAAATTCCAGTGTGCAACAATCTCGTACGGAAAATTTTGTTATTCAAAACACGACGGATTACCGTTCATTCCGCTTACCCCCACACACACACACATACATAAAGAGGCTTCGAAGAACACGGAAAGAAATTAAAGAAACATAAATATTAAATATTTATTTCATTCCTGAATGCCAAAAGGTTTTTTGTTTTAATATTTCATTAGAAACAATAAGGTTTAAAGTGTTATATAATTGATTTCTGAACTGAAACCCTATCTAAATGGGGTTAGAACCTTATAATTTACTACTTTTCTTTTGTGTACTATTAATGACTTACTAAGAATATAATCATTTATATGATATAAACTGGCTCTGTAGATTAATCTTTACTCTGGTTTTATCATAGAAAACTATTATTATATGTTTAAAAATGTTCCCCTTTATAAAGTTTGTTTCACTTAGTTCCAAAGCTGTTTGTTTCAGTGTATTTACACGCATGCCTATGTAGGGACCGCAGGCGGCACCTTGCCCTGCAACTCGTGTCGCTGGCGTTGTCACACGGCGCACATTTGTTAGACACTAAGCCCGTGTATGCCTCTCTCCGGTCGGGATAAGAATGTTTATTATGTTTATCACACACAGACACACAGGCAAAGGAGGCATACAGGCACACCGAGGAGGCGCAGGACTCGCTCACACAGATAGCGGACAGGACACGACTACAAGTCAAACCGCAAGGCAACCGCACGTACAAAACTTAAAGGGCTGACGGCAAATGACAGACAACAAAACGGCAAAATGAAGCCGCTGCTTCCACTTCCATTTCCATTGGCACTTCCGTTTCCGCTTCCCTGGCCCAGCACCGGGGCGGCCATTGTCTTGTGTAACTAACTTCAAAATGGCGACACGCCGTGCCACGCAATTATGACCACGCCTACGACTTTTGGCATTTTTCAGCTGGCCCAGTTTTTATTTCGCTTTATTAAATGCTTCAGGTAGCTACTTAAACACGTTTTCGATTAGAGCAGCTGCTGTCATTACTCAAAGTCGCGGCGGGGAGAGCGGAACGGAACGTCTGTCTTTTACCTGTTTTCCTTCTTCTTTTTGTTTCTTTTTTGTTGTTGGTCCCCACAATTTTCTTTCTTTTCAGCAGCGCTCTTTTTTTCCATTTTTCTGTTGTATTGTGTACATCTTCAATATTTTATAATAAAGCGAAATTCCAGGAAGAGGAATACAAAAATGTGCAGCTAAAGTTGCGCCAGGGGCGGTGAGGTGCTGGCTGGGCCGGGCTCTGGTAAGTTTCTAAGCTGGGGTTGCTGCTTACTGGAGTGTGCTGATAAGGCTTGGGATCAGCTTAAAAGAAAGGGAAATTCCAGTATTAAAATGCAAGGAGAGGCAGGAACAAAGGATATTATTTTAGTAATCAGTGGCGCCTTCTTCTTGTTGTTGAGTCGAGCCAATCGTAGATGATAAGTACATTCCTGCAACTATCAGGTTTACCTAATGTTTAAATAAAAACTAAAAGGAGAAAACTGTGTTGCAAAGAGCCAGGAAAATATCAGGAAAGTAAGCATAACAGTCTCTTGTTTTATTAAATTCTTAAACCTAGTTTCAAGGTTTTTAATGAAGTTTCCCACAAGCAACCAACAAAAAACGACTTAAATCTCTAGAATATTGTTAACTATTAAAAGCTTAATCCTTTGTTGACTATTAAAACATTAATAGAAATAGTTCAAAATTTCAAATATAATTATTATTGTAGGATTCTATAGAAGTGTACAAAGATTATATTTTCCCTGTTCGATTTTTGCACCACTCCTAAAACCACTTCCAACCCCACATCTGCCTCCCATTTTGGAGTGTTTTAAGGAGCTCGGCACTGTCATGACAACCATGTCGAGCAGCCATTGAATCCATCATGGAGCACAGGAGTATACACCTTCAAAACGGCCACAGCCTGTCATAATTTTATGTTTTAAGCCATCGTCGTCGAGGAGGAACGGTGTGGTTGTGAATGCACGAAAGTGGAGGCGTCTTTAAAAATAAATCTGAAAGTACTTTAATGTTGTATCCTGTTATCGCTGGCGACGTGCAGCTGTCGCTATTAGCGTGCGACTTGCCGAGTCCTTTAGCCTTCGGCTCCGTTCTTTTTTGTCGTCCTGCGAAATGGCTGCTTCGTTGTGTTTCTTTTCATTGCTTGATGCGGCGTGTTGAC